CCCCATGGGATGAGTGAGCAAGAATTAAAGTTTTGAAGCACATAAATAGTCAGACTTTTCATTTATTTTATTTTATTTTATTTTTGTATATGATCTTTTAGAAAAATAAATAAATAAATAATAAGTGGGGATTTCATTGCATTAGACTTAACATGACGAATTCAAGGAATGAGTCGAGAGTGTCTTTGGTTGGAGGTTTTATTTTTGAGTTTGAATTTTGCATATGAATAAAAATTTAATTAAAGTAATGATATGATGAGATATAAATAGATGTTGATATAATATTTTGAATATAAAATTAATTTAAATATAATACAAAAATTTAAAAATATGTGTTTTACTAACTTTTGTATAATTAATACTTGTAGAATCTTTTAATTTTATTTCGTCGAGAAACTAATTATTGCGCATGCATTGTTATCTGCACACATTTATGTATTTGATAGCCTAGCTACCTACTTACACATATTTATCCTTCTATCTCATCTATATATTTATGTTTGACATGGAAAACATGCGTGTGCACAAAAAAGTTTGGCCGTGTTCAGAGATTGCGTGTATTTTGAGACTGAACACGGGCGTGTTTGTAGTAAACACACCTCTATTTAATTTGGCCGTGATCGAAAATGGTTCTAAGGTCAAACACGGTCGTGTCTGATTCAGCCGCCACTATAGCTTTTGTTATAGCCACATCAGTACGGTCCGTTGAAATTTGAACAGTAAAATTAAAAATAATAATTTATATTTGTTTTCATTTGTAAAATGCAAGAATATTTATAGAAAAATTTACACAATCTATAAGTTGGGTATTACTCCCTCCGTCCCGGTCAAGATGACCTCTTTAATGTGGGACACGATATTGTAGATAGTGTAGATTAAAAAGTTATTAATAATAAGTTATGATATTATTTTATTATTTTTATATGAGTAATTTTGTTGGTATTTTAAATATTTTTAACATTATATCTCAATAAAATATATATAATATGAATATCATTTTATAGAGAATAAAATTTATATAATACAAATAAATAAATAAATAATCATTTATTTATTTTTAATTAACTTAAAACCAATTTTATAAAAAATAAGAAGTTTTAAATATAAATAAAAAATATTTTTTTATTGAGGAAATATATAAAAATAAAGAGGTTTTGAGTGGTACCACGTGTAAGAGGTTAGAAATTTAATTAAATTGATTTATATTTGTTAAATATGTTTAACATGAATAAATTTACTAGAAATAAAAATGGGTCATTTTTTGTGGGACGGACAAAAAAAGGAAAAGGGGTCATATGTCGTTGGACGGAGGAAGTATTATATTATTTATATATATATTTTGTTTCGTTAAATCAAATCAATCTAATTTTATCTTGTTTAAGTTTTTTTAAATGCATTGTTATATCACATCACAATATATATATATATTTTATCATTGTAGTAGTGATCAATCATTTCAAGTTTTGTCTTATTGAGCTTTATTAATTATATTGTTAGATTTCATCATAATTTATTATTGTACTAGATAGGTTTGAACACATTTGCATTGTGAGATCACATCATAATTTATTATTGTATTAGGTAGTTTTAAACACACTTATATTGCTATATCACATCATTGTTTATTATTGTACTAGTTAGCTTTGAACACACTTGCATTGTTATATTACATCATAATTTAATTGTACTATGTAGCTTTAAACACATTTGCATTGTTATATCGCATAATTATGTATTATTGTAATATGTAGCTTTAAATACAGTTGCATTGTTATGTCACATCATTGTTTATTATTGTACTCGTTAGTTTCGAATACACTTGCATTGTTAGACCACGTCACTATTATTATGTGTCATCAAATTTATTTTAAAATACTTTAATATTGTACTATTTATTTACATATTTTTAAATATATTTTATTATTATTATTATTTCACATTATTATTATTATTATTATTATTATATTATTATTATTTATTTCATATAATGTAAACTATAAATAATTTATATTGGCAAAAGCTCTACACTTACACTTCAAAAAATATTTGTAATAAACAATTTTGTTACAAAAAAATGTCAAATTCATCTCAAACTATTTCGAGTTCAGACTCCGATAAGGAGGGTTGATTTCTTTCAATTTGTGGATGCAATTTCAACGTCTTCAATATGCTATAACTAACCACTAAGAAAAAAATCAATCACGCCGAAAAACATACATTGATAGTAATCGTGAAGAAGGTTATAACCATTTGTTCGACGATTGTTTTTTTGAAAATCCTGTCTATATAGATTTTCAATTTCATCTCAGATTTCGAATGAGGAGACATGTCTTTATGCGCACTGTGGATCGTCTAACAACATAAAGTGAGTTCTTCCAACAACATCGAGATGAAATGGGAAAACTTGGCTTATCGTTATTACAAAAACATATGGTAAAATCCACAAAAGAACACAACCAAAAGGATAGAAATATAAATAAACAAAACTACAAAATAATCATTATTATTGTTATACACTAAAAAAAGTAAAAAATTGAAGGACAAATTAATATAAAATATATAATTTTATTATTTTTTACACTAAAAAAAATATTTATATTTTGGGGGTTAGGACCGACCCCCTAGCCCCCAAGTAGTTCTGCCAATAGGTGTAGTTGTTGATATTGTAGATGGCTATTCGTATTGAAAAAAGTACAATAAGAACGTGTGAAAAAAATTTGTTGAATGAGTCATTTCAATATTTGGTGAATAATATTTAATAAGGCCAAATGCAACAGATCTACAATGATTGTTGTATATTGCAGAAGAAAACAATTTTCTAGGAATGGTACGAAGTATTTGATTGTATGCACTGGGAGTTGAAAAATTGTCCAATATCTTGGAAAGGAAAGTTTTATGTGGAGATCATGACAAACCGATTGTCGTATTAGAAGCTGTGACATCGTATGATTTATGGAGTTGACATTCCTTTTTCGGAGCACCAGGTACATGCAATGATATTTTAATGTACTTGATCAATCTTCAATTTTTAATGACCTATTGAATGGTAGAAGTCCAAAAGTAAGTTTTATTGTCAATGATCATCAATATAGTATGATGTATTATCTTACGGATGTAATATATCATCCATGGGCAACATTTATCCAATCTATTTGTCTGCCTCAAGGAGCTAGAATGCACTCATTTGCACAACGTCAAGAAGCTGCTCGAAATGATTTAAAACGTATTTTTGGTGTTTTACAAGCTCGATTTGTTATTATTCGACGTTCGTCACTCATTTGAGATATTGATTTGATTGGTAAGATAATAAAGTCATGTATCATTTTGCATAATATGATCGTTGAAAATGAAAGAGATAAATATCTGCATTATTATGATGTATCGCAATTCGAATAAGTGGGGACGGAGAATCTTAGTTGTTAGTCATATTGTGCTGATAAATATGCCAGAATGATTGAGTTTTTAAGAAATAGAATGCGATTTCGAGACAGAAGAGTTAATCAAAAACTTAAAGCAGATTTGGTTGAAAATACATGGCAAAAATTGGGTTCGATGAATAATTAAATTATTTATTTTTATTTTAAATATTTCTATTGTATTTGTATTTGTAATGAAATGTAATATAATGTAATATTCCCTTCAAAAAGTTTAGTTGTTATTTCTATATTTTATTTTATCAATTAACCAATAATAACTATCATAATAAAAATACAATACAAAAATAATCTGATATTAAAATTAAAATTTAAAATAAATTTAATTAAATAATAAATAATATAAATTTTTTCGATAAAATTTTAATAAATCAAAATATTAGCAAATAATAATAATAATAATAATAATAATAATAATTAATTAATTAATATAAAAAATATAATTAAAAAAATAAAATTCCCTCCATCCACAAGTTAACTCCTACTTTCCTATCCGAAATGTCCAACAATTATTGTCTCTTTCTATTTTTATACACAAAATTTACTTTTTACCCTTACTTTATTTACTTTTTTATTTTCTATACACAAGATTAAGGGCAAATTTGTAATTTTACAATAAAAACTCTAATTGCCTAAAAATGCTTGTAAATATCAAATAGGACATTAAAAATGGACGGAGAGAGTATACTCCGTCCCATAACAAAGTATCTATTTTTCCATTTTTGTCCGTTCCATAACAAAGTATCCATTTTTCCATTTTAGTCCGTTTACACAAATGTCATTACCTAAATATCACACATACTAATAAGGTTATTTTAGTCATTTCTACTTTATTCTTACTATTTTCCAATATAATATTAATATTTCTAAAACTACGTGTAAAAAGCAAATGAATATTTAGTTCTGGGACGAAGGGAGTATAAAATACGAGAATAAAAATTAATTAATAAATTAAAATGAGTATTTTGTTGTGAATATAAAATAAAAGAGTATCTAAGAAAAAGTAACATGATAAAAAGTATTGTAGATAACCAAAAACTTGTATTTGCATTGTTGTTATGTCGAGTAATAGATTTAAAAAAAATACTCCCTCACCTTTTATGTGATATGACCATGTTATAAACTATTTATAAATCAATAGTTTAATTAAGAGTAAAAAATTATAAAATTTAAAATTTAAAATCTATAATTATATTTTTAAATAAAAAAATATAAATTACAGGACAAATTATGTAAAAACTGAGTATATTAGGGTGTGTTTGTTTGAAGGATTTATTTGGATTTTCACTATTCATCCTATTTTTTTCTCCCAAAAAACATCCAATCGAACACTTATTTTTTATATTATACTAAAAATTAATTTTACATTCAAAACATCACATCAACACCTATTTATATCACATCATACAACTATTCAAATTCAAAATTTTTACTATTTAAATCCCAACTCATCGAAACACTCAAACAAACACACAAAATACAAATTGAGGCCTCCTTATGATTGGGTTCTGGGGTCTGAAAGGGTGCCCATATTTGCCGGCCCTGCTATGGATAATATATATTACGTGTCGATCTTGCATTTGCTGTTCGTCTCTCAATTCCCTTAATGCGATTACGGAAGGTTTTAAGTTGAGGGGATAGCGATTCAAAGGTCCAAGGCGAATCAATGGCTGCAGCAGCTTCGATTTCCCTTTCTTCATCACTCTGCTGTCACTGCTCCACCATCTGCCGTATGGTTATACTGATGCTCTTTATCGATCGAATGCTTCATTCTCTGTTACTATTTAACTGATTGCGCGCGTTTATTAGATGTTCGTGCTTCTACTCGATCGAAAAATGCATACGCTGCTCGAGGATTAGCAACGGTCTTTGAAACCGGTTCTCCTCTATGTAAGCGCTATCTGTTAGTGACTTTGAAGGTGAAGACAAATTCGAAAAATCTCGTTCCAAAATGCGAAATGATCCAACAATTGGACTTTTTAAAACTTAGATTTCGTAGCATGTTATCATTATTCAAGTTCTTTTTGGAAAACTAACGATGTTAGAAAGAAGGATACTGATTTGCCTGTTCTCTGAAAAACGAAACTACTCTGCAAATTTTTCTACCCGAAGCTTTGAACCTTTTAAGACAGACACTCTAATGTGATGTGATGGATGGATTCTAATGTAGTTCCTAAGTTTCAGCGATTCAGAAATCCTTTTGGCGGAGGAGCAATTGCACTAACACTAGCACTGCAAGCAAATCGAAAGCAGTCTCAATAAGATGCGAGCAGAGCAGCAAGGAAAGCGGCAGCAACAACAGTGGATTCGATGTTTGGGTTGGGCGAGTGGCTATGGTGAGTTTTGGTGTTGCTATCAGTGTTGAAATTGCGACTGGCAAAGGACTCCTAGAGGTACGCATTCCTGCCTGTCTGCCTACACTATGTGTTCATATGATACTCCAATCTTATTCTCACATTCCAGAATCATTCATGCCTCAGTTTGCCTGTTCATTATATCACAATCTCAATCTACTTATAATTAAGAGTTAACCAGGCTTCCAAATTAGAAACTTATTGTTACCAAACCTTCTACTGCCTTTCAGCAAAAGTTATTATTTTAGTATTGAAGTCTTAGGCAATATCCCAAATTTCACAATCCTGTAGAAATTTCCCAAACATCCGATACGATCACCAATACACAAATTAACACATAGCTTAGCTCTGATATATGGTGATGCCTACATCAGCTTAACATATGTAACAATGGGAGACAAGTGTGCAATGGTTTGTATTGGATATTTTAATAAATATATATATTTTTTTAATTATTTAAATTGAATGCTATAACAAAATGAAAAATTTGATAAGTTGAAAGCATAATTTGAGTTTTTAGTTGACAAATGATATAGAGAACCAAAAGAAGCATGTATGGTTTGATACACTGATGAACATTGTTTTCCCTCTTACTTATAAGGCTAAAGGGCTATTCCACTTAATATGAATTTGGTTTTAAGGTAGAATTTCGAATTTCTTCTTAATATGGTATCAAAGTCATGATGCCCTTATTGAGTATTGATCTATCACCTTGAGGGGCAAGTGTTGAATATTTTATTTTTCCATGTACGAAAAATGTGGAAGCTCTAAACGACTACTCCACTTAATACCAATTGGATTGCATATTGACTATTTGTAGTATACTTCAATGGGAATCTCAATTAACACATGCACCCTTGTATAGAAGCATAGAGAAAGAAAACAACAAAGAAGTCATATTTCCATCAATTCATATTTACTTCAATTTTGCTCAAATGTGTTTTGAATAATCTCTTCTTGGCTTGTGTTACAGAATTTTGGATTCACCACACCTTTGCCAACTGTGGCCTTGGCAGCAACCACCTTAGCAGGAGTTTTGGTTGCTGTCTTCATCTTCCAATCTGCATCAAAAACCTGAAATTTTCTATTCTCATTAATATTTTTTTTCATCCCTTGTATAACAACATTAGCAAAAAATTATCACCAGTCTACTATTATTTTGTGTTATCCATACTAAAAAAGAAAAAGAAAACAAAATGAATGAAGTAATGATAGTGGTTGTTTGGCTTAATGGAACTATAACCATTCTCTCCTATATTGGGATGATAGTAGAAGTTTTTCATTAATTTGAATATTTATTTGTTCGAACAAATATGAACAAGCAGATTGAGCATTGAGCAAATTCCAAAAATCAAACAAGAAGAAGAAGACAGATGTAAGATAATTCATCTAGAAATATATATATATATATTGTTGGAACGAGCAGCGCAAGATAGAACCCAAGAAGAGACCCTTTTTATGTTATTTCATCATAATAAAACAAATGCCTAAATAGACAGTACATTACGAGTAAGAAAAGAAAATTGAGCCGAGGAGATAGGAGAAGCAATAATAGCTTGATTCTTTCTATTACCACTTTATTTGACTATTCAATTGATGTTTCCTAGTTTTATGGAACGTGTATTCAACCCTTTGAATCATTCTCAACATGCCCCTTTGATTCAAAGGTGGTGATGAATAGGCGAACAAGTCTGCTAACTGGTCATCAGATTTGCAGAATTTCACCATAAGTTCTCCTTTTGCAATGAGCTCTCAGATTTAGTGGTGCTTGATCTCCATGTGTTTTGTTCTCCCATGCATAACTGGATTCTTTGCAATAGCCAATGCAGGCATATTATTACAGAACATAATTGTAGCTTGTGACCGAGTCTGGCCTAAATGATTAAGGAGCTTTCTTAACCACACTGCTTGACACCCGGCTGCTGTTATTGCCACATATTCAGCTTCGGTTGATGACAATGCCACCGTAGGTTGTTTCTTTGAAGTCCAAGAGATTGGTCCTGAGCCAAGGACAAAGCAATTTCCAGTAGTGCTTCTTCGGTCGTCTTGTGCTCCCGCTCAATCACTGTCAGAGTAGCCTATTAGCTCTAAGTCCGTTTTTTTTTTTTTTTCAGCCATATACCAGATACCAAGATTTTTTGTTCCAGCTATATATCTAAGAACTTTTTTGCCGCTCCAAAGTGCTGTTTTGTTGGATTGTGCATGAACCTTGATATCAACCGCATTGCAAAAGCCAGGTCAGGTTTGTTGTGAGTGAGATACATGAGCTTTCCCACGACGCTTCTGAATTTTCTTGCTTATGCCATTCCCGTACCTCATTAGCTGTTAGTTTTTCATTTGCATTCATTGGAGTTTCTGCCATGTTGCACCCCGGCATACCAAACTCTTGCAGAAGTTCATTTGCATACTTCTATTGTGAGAGAAATATGTCATCCTTAGTATGAATAATCTCCAACTCAAGAAAGTAATGGAGCTGTCCCAAATCTGTCATCTCAAACATATGCATCACAGAACATTTGAAATCATTAATCAGCTGCATCGACGAAAATGTATAGATCATGTCATCTACATATAAGCTGACCAACATCACATTGGTTGTACCTCATTTCTTTATGTACAAGGTTGGTTCATTTTGGCTTTTCTGGAACCCATTTTGATGGAAGAATCCTTCAATCTTGTTGTACCAAGCCCTTCAACCGATATACTTTATTTTCTTTTTCAGGAATCAAAAACCCATCTGATTGCTAAATATACACCTCATTATGGAGTTCTCAATTTAAAAATGCAGACTTGACATCAAATTGAAATATTTCGCATTGAAACATGGCTTCTACAACAAGGAGTAATCTGACAGTTTCAATACGTGCCATCAGTGAGAATGTTTCACTATAGTCGACTCTAAATTCCTGCACGTAGCCTCGCACCACTAATCTCGCTTTATACTTCTGTATGCTTCCATCTGAGTGATATTTGGTCTTGAATGTCCATTTAAGACTGATGGTCTTCTTTCTTTCTGGTAGTTCGGACAGTTCTCATGTTCCATTCTTTTATATCGCTAATAGTTCCTCTTTCATAGCCTTTTTCCATACATCACTTTTCATAGCAGCTTTTATGCATTTGGGTTCTTCTGTAAACATTGCAAATGTGCAGTAATCAACAATATATTATCCTCGCCAAAGTCATCACCATCGTCAATTTGAAATCGACATTTAGGGATTAAGCCCCGAGCACTCCTGCGTAGTTGTTGTTGAGGAGCTTTTTCAGCACTTGGAGATTTTTCACCATTTTGACCATCATCCTTTTGTGGAGTTGGAGCAGTAGGGTCAGACCTTGTCATACCATGATTTACTTCATCATTGCCCTCCTCATAGGAGATTGTGCTCGGCATAGGAGTTCCTGTTGCACCAATTCCTTCTAAGGTCTGTTTTTCATTAAACTGGACAACCCGACTTATCACTATCTGCCTTTTTTCTGGATCAAATAATCTGTACGCCTTTGAGTTTGAGCAATAACCAACAAGAATATATTTCTTTGTTTTTGCCTCAAGTTTGTGGCGGTTGGAAGTTACCATAGCGTAACATAAAAACCCAAAAATTCGAAGATGATTGACAGAGGGTTTGAATTCATACCAGGCTTCAAAAGGGATCTTGTTCCATACTACTTTTGTATGGGAGCTATTGATCAAGTAGACTGCAGTAGCAACAGCTTCCGCCCAAAATTCTGTTGGCAACATTTTTGTGTTAAGCATGCAACGTGCCATTTCCACTATAGTTCTGTTTTTACGCTCTTCTATGCCATTTTGCTCTAGGTTGTACGGAGATGTAAGTTCCCTTTTGATTCCATGTGTTTCATAGAACTTAGTGAATTCTATGTTACAAAATTCTTCTCCTCGATCCGTCCTTAGCACCTCAACCTTATGGTTGCTTTGATTTTATGTTAGATCTTTGAACCTTTTGAAGCATTCAAATGCCCCAGACTTGCAAGGGAGGAAATATACCCAACACATCCTTGTTAAGTCATTAGTATACAGTATGAAATACTTACTACCAGTATGCAATTTTGTATGTATTGGACCGCAAACATCAACATGGACTAGTGCAAGCTTCTTTTCTGCTCTTTTTTATTTTCCAATGGGAAAGGGTCGTTCGGCCTGCTTCCCTAGCGCACATCCATGACATACATAGGACAACTCCTTGATAGTGGGAAGACCTTTCACCATTCCTTTATTAGCACGTAATTGGAGTCCTTTAATATTGAGATGGCCATACCGTTGATGCCATATATCAGGATCGTCAACTTTGCTGAACATTCCATAAACTGCAGCATGTGAAAAGCTTACAGGGAACATCTTTCCACTCATTTTGGCCTCCAGTAGCATCTCACTTGTTTTTCTCTTAACAACACATGTGCTTTTCTCAAACACCACCATAGAGTATCCAGAGTCAACCAATTGTCCTACACTTATCAAGTTATTGGCCAAACCTGTTGCGTAATGAACATTCTGAATGAGTTTTGTTTGGCCACCAATATTAATCGCCACGGTTTATTTTCCTTCAATATAAATATGTTTGTCATCTCCTAACTTGACCCCGTGACTTGCGTGTTTCATCTAATTCTTTGAACTTTCTCTTATCTCATGTCAAGTGATTGGAGCATGCACTGTCAAGATACCAAATTTCATTAGAGAGAGTTTGGGAACCTACATCCATCATAAATAAGTAATCTTCTTCTTCTGTATATTGGGCTTGCTTCTTTTTACTCCAGCAATCGCTTTCTTTGTGTTCATATTTTTTGCAGTATGTGCATTGTTCTCTACTTTAACAATCATTTTCTTTATGTCCATGTTTTTTTGCAGTATGTGTATTGCATCATGCTCATTCTCCCACGTCCTTTTCCTCGAGAGGTAACTTTACCTCTGCCGCGACTTTAGTTGATTCATGTTTGCTCTCCTTGCACTTAGAAGGCTTGCGTTTCTTCTGTGTCTACTATTATATTGATTTTGACCTCGTGAGTTTGCAGGGACCCCATGAGTTCATCAACTGTGTAGGTGGAGAGATCTTTGGACTCTTCTATGGCTATAACTACATAGTCAAATTTGGGAGGTAAACTCTTAAGTTCTTTGCAACAACGGTGGTGTCCTCCATTACTTCACTGTATACCCTCATTTGACTAACAATAGATTAAATTCGAGCAAGGTAGTCCTGTACCATCTCGTTGTGCTTTATAGTTGCTGTCTCAAAATCTCTTCTAAGGTATTGCAATTTTACTGTGATTACCTTTACCGATCCTTGATATTCAGTTTTGAGAGTGTCCTAAGCCTCCTTTGCAGAGGTGACTGTTGCAATTCTTGAGAAGATAGTTTGATCCACAACTTGTTGGATAAAGAACAGGGTCCTTGCATCCTTCTTGAAGATCTCCTTGTCATCTTTGCTAGCAGCTGGAATTCCGTTTTCAACAAGCTCCCACAAGTCTTAAGACCTAAACAACATTTCATCTTAATGCTCCAATGTTCATATATATCACCTTTAAAGATGTGGATCTAAGGTTGTGATGGATTTATTGATGATATTTTATTGTTTGCGATTGTTCAGAAGCTTGGGTTTCAACCTAGCTCTGATACTATGCAATATGTATAAATGGTACATATGAATATTACTTCTATTAAAGAAATTAAAAGTCATCATGGAAAGAGGAAATGTCGACTTTGTTCAATGTAAGCTGAAGAGTAAGGTGCTGCAATGTAATAATTACACTACAGCTCTTTACATCATATATGATGATGAATAAAAGAAATTGTAATGTAATAATTACTTTGAATATATTTATTCTAAATATATATATATATATATATCAAAACAATTAACACAAATCTATATTATTATAAAATATATACTAATCTATAAGACATGCATGCAATATAGATTGATAAAATAAGATATACTACTAATTCCCAAAAATAGTATACTCCCTCCGTCCAGATAGGTATACATATTTCTATTTTGGGACGTCCAATTACAAAGTAAATATTTTATTAATTATTCTACTTTTTTTCACAAATACTCTTACTTTACATCACATCGTTACTTTTACAAAAAAAAAAATCATTACACTACTTTTAACCACTTACTATAATTAAAATACTATTATTTCTTAAACACCGCGCCAAAAGTAAATGTATACATTATAAGTGGACGGAAGGAGTACTATATACTATGAATTTATAATATATAAATCACCTATGTACGTACAATTATATATTCTTAAAAAAAAATAACATATGTAAATTAATACTCCATCCGTAACAAACACTCTGCAACATTTATTTTTTGGTATGTCCCAAACACCCTGCAACATTTTCAAAATAGGAAATATTATATATTTAATCTCTACCCCACATTTTATCCACTCACATTATCCAAATAAAAAAATAAAATATATATTTCTCTCTTCATCACATCACCTAATTTCTAAATTATCCTACTTAATACTATCCACCTAAAAACCCGTGCCAAAAGTAAATATTGCACCTTGGGACGGAGGGAGTACATTATTTGTATATATAAGACAAGATTATATATATGATATAATAAAACAACACAAAATATAATAAATAATCAAATTTATTATATAAATATTTAAATATGTTAATAAAAATATTATCCTAGATAATATGGGCCTAGATACGAAAATTTAGGTAAAATATAATTAATAAATAATTACGAAGTATATTAATAAAAATAATTATTATATATTAAAAATAATTATAGATTAAAATTAAAATAACTAAATAGTTTAATTAAGACTAAAAAAATTTTAAAATATAATTAAAGTTTATAATCAATTTTCTAAAAAAACAAAAGAACAAATTATGTGGAACAAAACAAAAATAAAAAATAGAGACAAATTATATGAGATTGAAGAAGTAAAAATTAATTGTTTGTATACAATATTACTATATTATACCTCATAGCCAATAAAAAATATAAATAAAAGAAATACATAACTTTTACAAAATGTAATGACTAATCAAATGTAATGATCAATAAAAAAAAAAAAATAATAATAAAAAATCAAGACTCTTCAAAATTCATGCTTTACATATATGTCCTCTCTCCGTTTCATATCTATCTTATCATTTATTTTTTGTATAAAATTTTAGAAATATTAGTATTATATTTGAAATTTAGTAGAAATAAAAATAAAAATACTAAATTAATATGATAAAAAGTAATAATATTTGTTCAATATATTATAAATTAAAAGACTATTTGTAAAGTTTACAATTATATAAAAAATAAATAAATACTTTGTTATGAACAATAATGAATAGATTGTCAAGGAAGAAATAAGAGTATATAAAATGATATATGTAATATAAAAAATAAGTTTCTTATATTGAATATTGATATGTTAAAGAATAAAATATATATTAAAAATCGTGGAAATAGAAAGTGTGTTGGACAAAAATCCCCACCAACAAACACACCCATGGCATTTCCAGCGCGCGTCCACGTTCAATGTACCTAAAACGCAACGAATCCGATCCCGGCCATGTTTTTACTTTTCACAGTCAATGAATGGTATAGCCACATACACACTGGATACACTCCATCGTTTCGCTTCGCTTCTTCGCAGCACGCTCGATCACTACTTTAATAGCTGCTGATACACCGCCATCATGGCTTCCGAAGCCTTCCGGCCGCTTGACGATAGGTCCTTGGTGGAGTACTTGAAGTCGACGCCTTCGCTTGCGGAGAAGCTTGGCAACCAGTTCGATAAGCTGGAGATCAAAGAAGTAGGCGACGGGAATCTCAATTTCGTCTACATCGTCGTTAGCCCCTCGGGTTCTCTCGTCATTAAACAGGTCAATATTAGATTTCCTCTTTCAATTAGGGCTTGTCTTTTCGCTCTTCTGTTTCCACTTTTTTTTTTATATGCGTTTAATTGAGTGCTTGCGAGACCGATTTATCTCTTCATTTGATCAATCTCTACCCTTTTGATGTTACTTGTTTACTACCACATTCAAGATTCCGATTACCAGAAGCTGATGTAATGATTTCTAAATTTCAATAATTTGAAACATGCAGCTATAATTTTAATCAACCACTTTTCTTTGGAAAGTAGTGGTGACCACTGAACACTCATCGAAGCGACTTTAATATATATTCTGTTCTAGCTTTCCTAGTTTATGCTGATGTACAGATCAATTGCCGAATACCATAGTTCGTAAGGCCTTTTCCAGTGTTAGGGATGGAGATTTTATATTTGCATAATACTTGAAGCTTTAAATGCTTTGAATTCTTATTTCAATAATGTTCACTTGTATCACTGCCTGAAAATTAGCACATTCAGTTCATTAACATGAAGCAGGAAATATGCAATGCCCAGCATCTATTAATTGCTATTTTAAGTAGGCCTGTTTTTTCAACTTTAATAGATGAGTTGCCATGTGCCACCTCACTAAAAGTTGACTTAAGATTTCCCCATGTTGCTCTTTCTGTACTACATCAATGACTATGTAAGTATATAATTATTTCTTATTTTGTTGTGACCTCAACAGGCTATTCCATACATTCGTTGCATAGGAGAATCATGGCCGATGACAAAAGAGCGTGCTTATTTTGAATCATCAACTTTGCAAGAGCATGGTCGTTGGTGTCCGGAACAAGTTCCAGAGGTTTACCATTTCGACAGGGCTATGTGCTTGATTGGAATGCGATATATTGAGCCGCCTCATATTATTTTAAGAAAAGGATTGATTGCTGGGATTGAATATCCATTACTTGCTGAACATATATCAGAATATTTAGCAAAGACACTGTTCCACACTTCCCTACTTTATCTGACCACTACAGATCATAAAAGTTCAGGTAAATAACTCCCCTCTGTGTTGCCATGCCATTCATTTATTCCATATAAATAAATAAATAAAAGAAATAGAAAAACATTTTATTTCTGCAATCATGATCTAAAATTTCTCTCGAGATATCATTTTGGATGGTACAGTCAGATAGCTGTAACTGTGATGCATAAAGCATTATGATAGACTCGCAACCAAGAACTTTTAATTCTGATCATGGGTATATAAAGTGCATATCTCAGGGGAAAACTTGCATGTTCATTTCAAATTGATGCTGTTCCATTCCTTTTCATGTACATTCACAGTAATCTTAGAGGGTGTATCTTATTATTTTCAGTTGCTAAATATTGTGGAAATGTGGAGATGTGCAGACTTACCGAACAAGTTGTCTTTTCGGACCCATACAAACTATCTGAATATAATCATTGGACAAGTCCTTACCTTGATGGTGACGCTGAGGCGATTCGTGGCGACGATATTTTGAAGCTCGAAGTTGCTGAACTAAAATCCAAGTGATTGACCTTAATATTGCCTATTTTCTCATCTATATTATGGTATGGAGTCCTTTACTGTAGCTGTTGACTTGTTTTCAATTCAGATTCTGTGAGAGAGCCCAAGCTCTTATACATGGCGATCTCCACACTGGTTCTGTCATGGTTACGACTGGTTCAACTCAAGTGATAGATCCTGAATTTGGTTTCTATGGCCCCATGGGATTTGATGTTGGAGCTTTTGTTGGTAACCTGATTTTAGCTTATTATTCACAAGATGGACATGCTGACCAGGGGTCTTCTGATCGAAGAGTATGCGTTATCCATGCATTTATCTGCACTCCAATTTTTGTTTATAGATTAAGCTCTACCGTGTTTTTAATTTTACGTTTTTTTATCTTTTGTAATGTTCATTTTTTCAGTATCTATTCACCGTGGTGATTTCAAACAATGTGAACCTGGCTTAGCTATGAAGACCCTTTCTCTTCTTCCATTCATCATTTTACCTTTTAAATTTCATTCTCTCTCTCTCACACCACAACATTTAACCCCTTGGATGATATTGGCAATCTTTGTTTTTATTGGTTTTGTATATAGTCTCCCTTAACATCCACATGCTTTCCTTTCAAGGTATGTGTAATAAGACATTTATAATTAGGATATGTATACATACATTTATATCAGTGTATCTTATACATCGTTTACAAATGCTTCTATGTTCCCTAGCTACATATCAATTAGAACATAAAATACTGTGTAGATATGTTTTATGTATTGATAGATTTATTTGTATTATTAATGATTTAAAATTGTCCAAAGAAAAGTTGTTTCAATTTTAAAAAATCAAGAATTTGAAAGCATACGAAGGTGCTCCCTATTTCTGATTGCATTATTTTAACAATTAGAAGCTGAAGTAGAGTTTGTATACATTCTCTAATCATTTACTTTATAGTGAAAGATCATAAGTCTTTTTCTGAAGATGCTGCAAACAATAACTTATTCTATCCATCACTTTCGTTTCATACTTCTGTAATATGATTTGGTACTTTGAGACTTTGTTTTGTCAAATATTACACAATCAATTTATTTTGGAAACATGTTTGTCAACTCAGTTGTATTTTAATTCTATTGCAGCAATATAAGGAGTGGATTCTGACGTCGATATCAGATACTTGGAACTTGTTCTACCGAAAGTTTACAGATATCTGGGATAAAAATGATGGTCACGGTGAGGCTTATCTTTCAGATATATACAATAATCCTGAGCTCCAGTCCTTGATAAAACAAAAATACATGGAGGAACTTTTTCATGACAGCCTGGGATTTGGTGCTGCCAAAATGATAAGGTTAGATTGCTGCTATCTGATTTTATACTGCTGTTTTCTTTCTGATACAAGTACGTTTTAAATTATAGTTTCCTTGGAATAGGATACAGAATTTTGAACACCGGTACCCTTTGTACAATTTTAAAGTAAAGTGCTTCTTTTAAATTTGAGTGCTAGAACCTAAATTAATGGTTTAGAATTCACCTTAAATTAGGTCCAATTTGTATCATTTAAGATTCGACAACTATTTTGCACATCAAACTCTCATGAAAATTGGCCATAAAGAAAATCCTAGTAATTGTCATCATCCATTTATATTATGCAGGTCAAGAATGTTGTGGGACTTGAAATGATGTCAATTGAATTCAAATTGAATTTTAGTGTCAATCACTAGAAAGAAAAGTAATGAAATCATAGGACTAAAATTGGAACTAGCTTTCCCGTGAAACAGAAAACTAAATGCTATTTTCATATTCCTCCTTGTTGCTGCAATGTGATGTAATTCCAGATTTTTTAGTTGCTCTGGTGTGCTATATATTGATGGGCAAGTTATTGTACAATATCAGAGGAGAGTATATCAATAATGGCTTGTTCAAGATCGATGCTTGCATATAACAACAAATGTGATCAGAGTCCCATTGATTTTACAGGAGAATTGTTGGGGTGGCACATGTAGAAGATTTTGAATCAATCAAAGAAGCGAGCAAGCGTGCAGAGTGCGAGCGCAAAGCTCTCAACTTTGCCAAAGCTCTTCTAAAGGCCAGAAGAAGCTTCCACTGCATAAGTGAAGTTGTTTCTGCAATCAGGCAACATGATTCGTCATGATAAGTCCTCTATCCTGTTGCATCTATCTGTCTATCTATCTTTGGATTTTCTTAGCTGCACGTGATGGGAAGGTGAACGTATATGTATGTTTCACTACTGTTTCTAGTGTTGTGGAATTTGAAGTTGTTCTTGTGGTTGTGCGCAGGCAGTTAGTTAGGTACCGATGAGGTTGATTTTCTTTGCTTGTTATGAAAGTGAACACAAGTTAGTTTATTTAATAGTCCTCCCGTCAATTGCAAAGCCGTTAGATAGCGATAGCCTATGGTAAATAACAACTCTTTTCTCGTTTTAGAATGTGTTTTCTATTAGATCGAGGATATATATATATATATGTAAATTTTCATTTCCTTTTCCGTTAACTTCAATATGAAACAAGATTGCAAAAACTTCAACCTTTTCAACTTATCCATCAATTTACTGATATATATATATATATATATATCTAGGTATGCTATTCTTTTACTTCAAATTTGGGAAATAGTGTTTAAAGGTAATGATTAACTATATATGTTCCAATAAATCAATATTTCAATAAAATTATTAGATTCTAAATATTAATATTGCATTGTAATTGAGTTGAGTCCATCTATCTAACTTTGGGATCTTAATTAATTTACCGATTGTTGAACCATTTAAGTTGCTTATCTCATCTCCTCTCATGTATCTTCTCATCTAATGCTCTCAATTATATATATTTCACCACTTTTACTCTTGTGACTGTTCCATAATACATATACTTGTCTTTCATTTAACAATTAACATATGTACTTGCTTTCATACTAAATATCCAACTTGTATTTACATTGCGTTTCCAATCAGGCTACTTAATTGTTGAATATTCTAGGGCTTGTCCCTATATCTCTATTTATGTTTTTCTTTTTATTCTTGTACTTGATGTTTTTTAGTTTTGATTGTTCTTTTCTAGTTCTAGCTAGTATTGGGTTAAAGGGATTCTTACTTAAGAGTGTTGGCATTCAATGTCTTAAATGTTTTCCATTCATCAACCTAAGCATATTATAGCATTTGCTGCTTCAATCTCTTGTTTTTCTGTTGGCTCAATATATATATGAGTATGAGCCAAACACTTTAATTTGCTTATCATTATATATTTGTTTCCGTTTTACATTTCTTCCCCATTTTAGTTAGCATTGCTTGGATCTGCAGCTCCCTATTTTTCCATTTTTTTTTGTTTCTTTCTCGCCTTCACCTATTTGTCAGAAATATCATTTTGTTGTACGCTCTCCTCCCTCCTGCTCGGTGCATTGAATTGCATCGAATTGTGCCAATTGGTAAGCCAGCCTTGAGAAATTGATTGCAAAAATTGTTGTTCAATTTAATGATATACTTGTGCATAGTATAGCTTAATTTAGTATAGATCATGTACACCACCTAAAATATGTTCTTAGTGCTTTCTTTATAGAAAGAAAAATTATGGCTTAAGGGATGGTATGGTGGTGTGGGGTGAACTCGTAACCGTGAGATCATGGGTTCAAATCTCAATGATTCGTCTAGTATGACTTGTCTTGCCGGACCTAATTTATAGATTATTGGGTTCGGCCGAAGATTTACCCTAAAAAAAGCATCACAAAAGCAACAAGTTTCTACAAAGAGATTCAATATGATCAAAGGAGCATTATTAACTTGAACATCAAAGATCCAATAGTGGAAGTTTATATTTTTATACTTGGGTTGTTATGGCATAAAATCCTTAATGAACTTTGGATATTGTGACTTCATTCTCAAATATTCATATTAGATTCCTCATTTTCAGGCAATGTCACTAAGTTAAGTGGGGTAGCTGAATTAAATCATAAATATGTTATTACTGACCAAAGGAATCACAAAAAAATCAAATCGATATCAGAGTAGGAATCAAGGTTGGATGAACACGACCTTGAAGATACTTAGAGATACAGAGGTATGTATAAAATATTTGGAGGAAATGGCTCAAGAACCCCAAGAAGTCTATTTGTTTTTGGGTTCATAAGTCAATTTTTGGACAAGAAACATATCAAATTGCCGAATGCCATAAAAGTTTAGGTAAAGTCCTAATGGAAGGTCACGGTTGAGGAGGATTAAACATTTGTAATGTAATGTAATGGCAATGGGGTTACAAGAGTTATAAGAAGAATGTTATGAAGGACTTTCAACAAGTTTAAATAAAAGAGTCACATAAAGGAATTAATGAAGTCTTTACTAATTAAATGAATTAATGAGATTTAGGGTACATAAAAGATGCTAGGATATTTTATAAAGGGAGACGATCACAACCCAAAAATCCAATCCTCCTTTATCTTTTTCCTTTATTTTCTTTTTGTTTTATTTTTTCTTTACTGTTAAAAGTGTACTTATTTTTATCCTTTGATTCTATTTTTTTCTAGTTTTGGTTGAATTCCTATAATTTGACTTGTTTTCTTTGTCTTTTTATAAACTAAATTTTGCTTTATTTTTGTTCATGTCTTCGTCCTATGTGCGACTAGTCCATATACTTTTTTGAATTATGCCGAAAAATTCATCTTTTCACTCTTCCAAAATACCTAACACACACTAGTTGTCCAAAAATGAAATTTCAGATACAATAAATTGGCATACTTATTTTAAAACTGTAATTAGACCATATTTATATAAATAGTCTTACAATTAAATTTTTTTTTTGACAGAAATAGTTTTTCAGTATCAAATTTACTAATGAATTGGTACGCCGGATGTGATGTTTGAGCACAATTGGACAACAAATTATTTTCAAGTGTCAATTTTTTGTAAAAACAAATTACCCACAAAAATCAATATTGAAATTTAATCGATTGGACCAAATAAAAATTTAAATTGGACCAAATTGCAATTACTTTCATCTTTCCCAAGTATACCAAAAACCATCATGTGATTGTGATCTTTAAGAAAAAAAGTTTTTACTATAAAATTCTATCTTTATAGCAAAAAAGTTTTAGCTATAAAATTATTTTTTATAACTAAAATTATTTGGCTATAAAAATCATACATATTTGATTTCTAAAACTCTTTTGATATTAATTTTAATTTTATAACAAAAGAGTTTTAGCTACAAAATTATATTTTTGTAACTATATCTCTACTCTTAATTTTTATTGCAAAAAAAACTTATATTTTATTACAAAAATCATATTTGTCGCAAAAGATTTTTTATATAGACGATGAAACTGCAAAAATATTTTTGCTATTAATTATCATCTTTTACAATGAAAGTTTTTTTTAGCTAAATTTCAACTTTGTTAAAGTTGTCAAAACTAATTTCGATGCGCCGTCGGAAATGTACAATTAGAGGAAGACGGGGTACAAAAGCACCCAACAAATGACTGCATGGGATGAGATTAAGGGTGTGTTTGTTTGAAGGATTTTGGTGGATTTCCACTATTCATCCAATTTTTTCCCCCCAAAAATATCAAATCAAACACCTATTTTTCATTTTTTATATTATACTAAAAATCAATTTTACATTCAAAACATCACATCAAACCCTATTTATATCACATCATACAACTATTCAAATTCAAAATTTTTACTATTCAAATCCCAACTCAAAATTCAAACCCCCAAACAAACACACCCTAAGAGGAAGATGAGGATTTTGATGATGAGTGGCTTTGAGAACCACACATATATATATATATATATGTATATATATTCTCTCCATTGAAGAAGGAGGTGCATCTCTTCGGATTGTTGAAACAGAGAAGGTCCGCCGCTAGATTCGGAAGTCCGTTCAGTTTTCACAAACTTAGTACTAGAAATAAAAAAATAAAATAGATACAATTATTTAGTATATATATAAAAAAATAAAATTAAAAGTTCTATTTTTTATAATAAATTTATAATTAAAATTATTTAATAATATTATTATTAGATATTAAGTTATTCTTAATAAATAATAATAATACAATATTTTTTTTTATAAAATAATACTCCTGTCCTACATACCATGTTTATATTTTTATTTTTATCTGTATCACTGATTCTGTCATTTTTATTTTTTTTTTAAAAAATTATACACTTTAATCTCATTTTAAATTTTTTAATTTATAATTTTTTTAAAAAATTTTAGTTAGACTAGTTAGTTATCTTAATTTTAATTTAAAATTATTTTTATTATATAATAATTATTTTTACTAATATATTTTTAATTATTTAATAACTATACATCTCCTAAATTCTCATGTCTACCATAAAGGGGACTCGGTAACCGAGACGGAGGGAGGGAGTAATAATAATTAGATCGGTCTGTTAATTAAAAAAACTTTTTTTTCTAAGTCTAAATCTATTCTATTTAGGCAAAATAGCATAAAATTCCCGTGCGGTTTGATAAATTTGCTAAAAAAATCTTTGGTTCTAAAACTAAAAAAAAAATCACTTGTGATTCGTAAAATATTACAAAAAAACCCCTCGGTTAGGACTTAATGGAGAGTGTATCTCACTCGCTTCAAATGCAATTTTTGGTCCGAATAGTATTATATATCTGTCTGAAGTTACTAAATGACCCTCTGAACATTTTCTGTCAATCCCTTCTCTCTTTCCTTTTCTTTTATTTCTCCATTCGTAAATTGATTCTTCCTTGATTTAGCTAAAATTTTTATTAATTTTAATTTACTTATTTTTAATATACAAATATTTAATAAATAATAAAATCTAATTTCCATATTTCCTTAGTCGATAGAACACAACCCTCACCGCTCTGGAGTCTCCTGCCGCCCACAGCCGACGACGACCGCCGCGCACCACTAGCCATCGATCTTCTTCCTTCAGTCCAAATCGAAGAAGAAAATAAGAGGGATGAAAACAATCGGTTTGGGAGAATCAACACCAGCTGTTGCAAAATTGAATGAATTTCAAACAACAGATCATCTAATTGTCGAATTGATTCGAATCGAATGGTGTTCGATAGGGTTTCCGATCTGAGTAAAAAATTGGGAATTTGGTAAATTAATGTCGGCGTACGAACCCTAACAATTTTTCGATTAACATTGTGAATCCCCAATTCTTACAGTCAACAATATGAAGAACGGCGTCATTGGAATTAAGAATAAGAAGCATCACTAAGGAAGTAGTAAACGAAGAACACTCCCCGTCCTGTGGCGGCCAGCGATTCGACAACGGATGCCTAAAATATCTTTGGAGGAGGTTTACCGCTGTCTCCAAAACGCAGGTTTCGATAGCCCATTTGCACGTTCAAATGGAAAAGCTTCGCCAACATACCCTCAGGTAAGGACACACTTAATTTCCTCTTCCTCTTAAATGTCTGAACTGCAAAGGTTTTCTTACATCACCATTAACAGTCTTCTGTTCAATTTTTGCGCAGCGAGCATACGTTCGTAGACGTAATGGACAGATCGAATCCAGAGAAGAAAGTGAGGGTAATAATCGAGTTGCATTTGCGTGGAGAGTTCGAGATGGCACGGACACACCAAGAGTACGACAGCGGAGGATGGTGTGTGTTGGCGGAGGAAGAGAATGGAGGAGGCCATGGCATTGGTGAGAGAGGGGGAAGCAGCGAGAAAGTGAGATAGAGTAGAGAGATAGGGAGGTGGGTTTGTAAATTTAATTGAGAATTAAAATTTAATTTTGAAATTTAATTTAAGGTTAAAACTGGAGCATAACGGTAAGTTTTGGTAAATATTTAAAACCATTAATGCGCTTTAGAAGTGTCACGGACCGAAAGGGTGGCCGAGCGACGCCGAGGAAGATGCAGATGGATGCCGAATTGACGGCGCGCCAACGCACAGAGGCTAACGAAGATCCTTCAAGATGTTTCGGAATCTCCTGGAATATTCTGGAACATTCTAGAAGCCCCGAGATCGCCCCTCAACCAAATTGATGATATTATCAATTAGATTTATATTATCTAGATATCTTTATCCATATCTCTTTTATTTAGATATCTATATCTGTAGATTGATAAGATATAGCAAATCCAAGTATGGATTTGATAAAATACGAAGTATCCATATCTTGTTAAGATTTAGCATATCCATGATAGAGTGCCTATATAAAGAGGAGGAGTCCTCACTTGTATTTAACTCCAGTTTTAAATCAATAAAACACTCTACTTTGTCGGGTGCTTCTTATAGTGTTTTTACTTTTAGCAGGTATTGGAGTCGTGTTCGAGGCTGCACTAGCGAGTTCTCGAAGGAGTCGAAGAATCGCTAGGCCAACGGGAAGGTGTTCGAGGATGAACCATCCGACCCGTTACAGAAAGAAGGGGGGGAGAGTGTAACATTTTTGGATTATGGGAACTTTTCAGCAAATAATAGGAGAATTTTTTGCTATTTTACGTCGATTTAAATAAAAAAAAAACATTATAAAAGAATAAATTGAGCTAGCCTTTTTAATAAATAGGTTATCAAGTCATAAACCCCTAACATTGAACCCATAACTAAATATAGGTAAAGCAACAACCTTACAATCAAGCAATAGTTCAATTTTTGTAATAAGTTTATTGGTTAATACACATATAAATATATTAATTTTTAAATATTAATGTTAATACATCGGGCAACACCAAGCATGGCCTAATTCATTAGCATGCCAGGCCAGACATGGCTGGAAATTTTTGAGCCTATTTTTTTAAGCCCAAGCACGATTATTTTGTGTCGAATTTGGATCGAATTCTCAAACCGAATCTATTACCTAGTGTGGGTCAAGTCATTGACACATTTCGATAATGGAAAGACATTTTATGCCCTATCTTTTATTTAATGCTTTGAGACTGTATCTATATATTGCCAATATATGGTTCTAAAATGACAATAAGGTCACTTGACATTAAAATAATAACTTGTCCTTAAAATAACATTTAAATATGTAATATTTTATATAAGTTTTTAATTATTTTTTTAATAAAATATAAAAATTTATAAATAAATACATTATAAATATTATCAACATTTATACCAATGTCAAATCAACAACTTACAAGAATTTATTTTATCTTCTATTTATTAAGAAAAAAAATATTATCATCAATCTTTAAGGATAAATTGCAAAAAATATCTTGTATTTAGGTTCAATTATTATTTTCGAATATTTTTATTTTTATTTTTGTAATTTAGAACATTATATGTATTTTGGGTATTATTTTTGTCCCCTGGCGTCGAAAAGACGCACGTGACGGTCATGTGCACCTTCTTGGCATGGCCGACGCATACGTGGACGTCACCGTTGTCATTCGCATGGTCGTCAAATAGGTGATGTGGAATTATCTTTTTTTCTATTTTCGCAATTTAGGACATTATGTGTACTTTGGACATTATTTTTACCCTCCAACACCGGAAAAACAATTTGTTCTAGGTTTTTTTTTTTCCTTTCTTATTTCAATTTGGCCTAATCGAGCCAAATTGAATTTTTTTTTTAAAAAAAAATAATATGTTTTAAAAAGATAATTTCACGTCATCTGTCCGATGACCATACGGGTGACAACACAATAACGGTGACGTCCACGTATGCGCTGGCCATGCCACGAAGGCGCATGTGACGGTTACATACGTTTTTAAGCACCGGAGGAAAAAATTATGCCTAGAGTACACATAATGTTCTAAATTGCGAAAGTGAAAAAAAAGTGTTCGAAAATGATAATTTGACCTACATACATACATTTTTTTTTGCAATTTTTGCAATCTTTAAATGTAATTCAATCAATAAATTTATTCTTTAATATTACGAATTTTAAATACCAAAAACTATATTCATATAATTAAATTAATACTTTTTTGTTTCAAAATATTATTTTTATTTGTCCCACTCAAGAGTATTTATTATCTATTATGGTAAAATTAATCACGTACTAATACTAAAATACTTTTTAATTTTTAGATTACAAACATACATTACATATACAATTAGTTTATACATAATGTATAAAAAGTATAAAGAGTAAAAATATCAAATTTATTTTGTATATTTTTATTAATTAATAAAATACTGTTATTTTCTAATCTAATACAAAAATTTAAAAGAGTACTTTAAATCAAAATATATGAGCATATAACCTTCTCTTTCTTAAGTAAAAAAGAGAAAAAATAACCGAATTTTTTCACTTAGGATATTTGAATGAATAAAAAGAAAAAAAATAACCGAATTTGTTCACTTAGTATATTTGAATGAATATATTATATTAGATATAAGAATCACATCGTTAATATAAAAAATAATATTTTATATTGAATTATTGACATTTTATGAGTAAATGAAATATATATTCTATATTATATTAAATAAGTATATATTATAGAAAATCATGCCACAAAAACATTGGGTGAAGAAACCCAAAAATGATTCTTGTAGTGTTCTTATGCATAAAATGTTATTGCCATTTATATATATATATATATATATCTTTTTGTTTATTATTTTTTATATGGCAAAGTTACATAACTAACTACTGTAGAAGAGTTCTGCAATAATCACTGTAGAAGGATTCTGGAATGTTAGAGCATCTCCAACCCAGCGCTATTCTTATTTGGTGTCGGTTGGATCAAATTCAACGCTAATTTTTTGCGTTGCTACAGTGCAACTCCAATTTTGGTATTGCACTGTAATGACGTTATTTTTTGGTGTTGCTTTATTTTTATTTTATTTTAATTTTTAAAATTATAAATTTCATTTTTATTTTTTAAAATTTTTATTTTAAATTATAAAAAATAAAAAATTGTTTAAAATTGTTACGTACGAAATTTAGAATTAGGTTAAAAGCCCAAGGTAAAAAGAAGAATGGGCCTGGCAATAGAGTTGGTTGAACTGGCTGAAGGACACCGTGTGGAAATCAAGGAAAATTCAGGACGGAAAGACTTCAGGTCGGAAGGTCCTCAGGACGGAAAGACTTTAGGTCGGAAGGTCTTCAGGTCGGTAGGTCCTCAAGACGGAAGGTCCTCAGGACGGAAAGACTTTAGGTCGAAAGGTCTTCAGGTCGGTAGGTCCTCAAGACGGAAAGTCCTCACGACGGAAAGACCTCAGGTCGGAAGGTCTTCAGGTCGGGAGGTCCTCAAGACGGAAAGTCCTCAGGACGGAAAGACCTCAGGTCGGAAGGTCTTCAAGTCGGGAGGTCCTCAAGACGGAAAGTCCTCAGGACGGAAAGACCTCAGGTCGGAAGGTTTTCAGGTCGGGAGGTCCTCAAGACGGAAAGTCATCAGGATGGGAAGTCCGCAGGTCGGGTAAACCGTAGATCGGATAGAAGGCGAAGTCGGGCAGACGCGGAGGTCTGTCAAGAGGAAGGTCGGGCAAGGAAGAGGTTCGGACAGACGCGGAGGTCTTCGGTCAAAGACGGAGGGCAGCTGATGCGGAGGTCGGCCCAAGTGAGGTCGGGCGAAGAAGCAGGTCGGGCGAAGGACGAAGTCGGGCCAAAAGGGCGGAAGGTCTGTGGTCGGCTCAAAGAGTGAAATATAGGGATAATTTTGGTCTGCTGAGGACACGTGTCAGCAGGAGAAGGGTTGGAAAACGGTTGGGAAGGAGACGTTGTAACCGTTCGGGCGACGGTTTTCAGTACAGTTTCTTCAAAGAATATTTAAGGATTTGGATCATCATTTGGAAAGGCATCTTCAATCAACTTCAACAAAGCAAAGTCAGATTTGGGGATCACCACTTTAAATTTCAGTATTTTATTTTCCAGTTTATTTTCTGTACCATACAGTGTTTAGAGATTCCTAATCTCAGGCACTAATTAATCAAGTTTAAGGATATTTTCTATATCTTTGAATTTTACTTTATTTTTGTTGAAAAAATACATCAACAAATTGGCGACCACAGTGGGAGCAAGACACAATTGCTCATTCCAATTCCGGCGATAATTTCATACGTCTTAGATCCGGCCGAATCATCGGAAGGGTCCATATGGCAGGTTCAAAACCACAATCATCTTCGGCACCGGTGGGAGAATCCGTTCCACCACCTATTGTGCCAAATGCCGGGGAAATCCCACAACCACCAACTGATTGGTGGTCTTATGTTCAACAAATGAACAACCAGCATACTTTGGTTATGCAGAATATGTTGCGTGAGCAACAAACGAACATGTTGCGTGAGCAACAGAGTCTGATGCAGAACATGATAGATCAAGCACTGTCAAGGGTTAGTCTTCAACCCACTCATACTCCACCAGGAGTATCACCATCCAGACAACAGGCAAATTTCGCAGGGCCATCATTCGTGGATAGTACATTCCCTAGTGCCACAAATCCCAACCGAATGGATAGGGGAAAATCTCCTTTGACTTTTCCCAACAATGTTCCACTGGGACCAAGGGTTACCAATCCGCAGCCGAACAATACAAGAGAGGACAGGCCTGAAGGATATATACATGATCCTATTCATATTCCTGTGCAGGATCCGTTCCATGTTCCTGATCATCAACGCTTTCATGTAGATCCTGATGAGATTGCACATATATTAAGGGATCAGTATGGATTAACTCCTCAGATGGCTAACCGCCCTGCATATCAGAGACCTTTCCCAGAAAGGATCATTAATGAACACCCTCTCCCAAGGAATTTTCGACCACCCGATTTTCATGCATTCTCAGGGGAGGACGGATCTTCCACCATAGAACATGTTGGTCGGTTCACAGCACAATTAGGAGAAGTTGGCAATAACCCTTTTTATAAGTTACAGCTGTTTGGTTTATCTCTTACTAGAACGGCGTTTTCGTGGTTTGTAAGTCTGCCTCCTGGACAAATTCAGACATGGGAAGGACTGGAGATGGCATTTCACGCTAGATTCTTCAATCCTTTACCAGTTGTTTCTTTAACTGATTTACTAGAATTGAGACAGTTTCCAGAAGAATCTGCTTCACAGTTTATAGAAAGGGTGCGATTAATGAAGGGACGATGTCCTACGGTAATCAGTGAGAAAGAGATGACCAATTTAGTGGTCCGGAATATGCATACTCGTTTAAGAAAGGCACTCACTGCCCTGGATGTTGAGGATTTGGCAAGTCTTGCATCCAAGGCAGGACGTCTAGAGTCTTTGTTCAGAGAGGAAGATCAGCATAACAGGCGTAATAGAGGCCAACATATGGCGAGTATGGGAA